ACCCGGAACCGCCGTGTGACGCCCTCACCGACCAACCCGTAAGGGGAAAACAGCGTGAGAACTAGAAAAGTAACATTTACAAAGCAAATGCATAATATTTACCTTCGCATATGGTCTGCCCTGTTAGTTCTTAGTCTTCTCACCTTCTCACCCTGACGCCTTAGTATCTTACTCAAACACATTCGCATATATGGTGACAGGAGTCTAAATCCCTCCTACTATAAAATTGCAACATTATGTAACCCAACACCAGTTACCATGGTGAGAGCTGGTTCAGTCAGGCCAGAGGTCACTGTTTGGAGGGCTAGGGTTAGGATGAAGCATGTTCTGGATAGTCTAATTGTATCCAGAACCGTGCCTATCTGGTTCTGGACTGAGCACACTCAGTCTTGTGGCAACAAAACTGGCGATACAGACAATGCTTGTGTTACACTTACGAATAAAGGCAAGTGAAGTGTTTGAACAATCGAGCCAGTCGTTTCGAAGTCCAAGAAGTTTTAAGACACAAACAAGTAAAATCTGAGATTTTATACCTCCGGGCTTTTTATTGTATATTTCTATATGTTGTTTGTTATGTATAGTTGATGGTGTTGAATTTTATGTGTTTAGCGTTCCTGGTTGTGTTAACACAGGTCAACATTTTCATCTGCAGCCCATAACATGTACCCATGAACTTATGAAATTCTATTTAATCTGCCGCAATGAACTCGTAATGAAACTCAGAATGACAACCGGAACCGTTAAATCAGACGTTAAAAATAACGGCTGAAGTAGCAAGCCATCATTATTGTCACTTCCTCCATTTTCCGCCAATTCTTCGTATAAATCGGGGAAGTAAAGGTCTGAATCCTCGGTAAAAATGCACGCCGAGAACGTCTGAGACCGTATACCGCGGTATTTGTAAGTTAGAAGTCGTAATATACGCCGAAAACATCCAATTGCGCAAGAGTACGTTGACCCCTGACCCATTGACCAACCCGGAAGTTGCTGCCGATCACGCGTCCTGTGAACGCGTACTAAAAATACCCTCCAAACAACATTTGTTGCGCCTCGCATACAGAAGATGCATGTGCACAACAACAATTGTTGCGCGCCGCAAGACTAAGAATTTATTGAGACCCGTCACCCCTCTGTGCGACTGTGGACGAGACCGACTATATCTGACACACGCAAAAGATCGACGGTCGCGACCCACTTTCTCACTCAAGGGGTGTTCTGGGGCCATCAAAAGGCTCCATTTTCACGCCCGAAAACACATATACAATAAAAACAAAAAAACGTGCATCATCTGCAGCCCGATAGCAAAACATATACCGAGTCTCAAAAGAATCCGTCCACTCAAACGCGAGGAATCGCTGCGAACGTGAAATTCTAAAACCTCTCACAAAGCCCTTCCGCGGAAGAATGTCTCCTCCCCCGGAGGCAAAAAGGTGATTTATCTAGCCTCCAGCAGGCTTCGGGAGGCGGCTGGAAAGAGTAGAAATTGGCCATATAGAGATATAGCATGACAGGGGAGTCTGCTGGAGAGAACAGTTTGTCGCACCCGTGCAGACCAACTCCCTTGGCATGCTATCTCTCTATTTGGCCGATTTCTATTCTTCCAGCCGCCTCCCGAAGCCTGGTAGAGGCTACCCAAACACACTAGACTCTATGCTTACGTTACACTTACGTAAAGTCAATTATCTAAAGCAATCATGTCAGTCATTTCGAAGTTTTAAGACACAAAAAAGATGACGTACCCGTTCTCGAAGCCGGAGCCGACGAAGGTGACTGTGCGTCCCTCGCCGGAAGTGACGTAGACAATCTGTCCGTCGCTGTCGTATCGGTAGGCTCTGCCGTCGTCGGTGTAATACAGGATATTTCCGGCCGAGTCGTACGTGTAGCGCCGGCCGTCAGCGGTCGTGAAGAACTCCACTCGGTTACCCTGTATGTGGGGACAGGTTAGGGAATTATCAATAACCGCGACGGGGGACGACATTGTCTACCAGCTATCTTTGACCCAGTGTTGACGTTACACTTCAAAGAAGCCACGTGAGAAGCTTCACTGGGTCAGTCTACTGAGGAAGACCAGAGTGACTGGTCGAAAGCTCTAGGTGAGAGAACTTTTTGTGTTGGACCAAAAGTTTTAACTTTAAACAGTTGAGATAAAGTAAAACATCCGTCAGCAGTAAGCACGCACCTGTGAGTCGACGGTGAATCGCTCCTCGGTGCCGGTGGTGGTGACGGTCCCGCCGGCGCTCAGCGTCACGTACAGCAAGTTTCCTTCATCGTCGTACCTGCCGACAGAAAATACAGGTTTATACACATAGTCTCTAAGTGTTTAGACCCTAAGTGTCTTAAGTTAAACCTTAGTATTTATTTCATAATGACTTGTACCAACAAAAGATGAACTTTAACACTAAGACCCCTACCTGTACGTGCGCCCGTCCTCCGTGTAGTAGACGATGCGCCCGGACCCGTCGTACGTGTAGGCGCGCCCGTCGGCCGTGGTGTAGCGCTCCCCAACCACGATGTACAGGATGGTTCCGTCCGCTCCGTACCGGTAGCGCCGTCCGTCCGCGCCCGTGTAGACCCTGTTCCCCTCCGCGTCTACCACGTACGTGTCCGTCGTGCTCGTCACCTGGGCGGCGGGAAGGTTATATTTAAGAACCGTGCTCCAACCCTAGCCCTAGCCCTAGCGCTAGCCCTAGCCCTAGCCCTAGCCCTAGCCCTAGCCCTAGCCCTAGCCCTAGCCCTAGCCCTAGCCCCAACCCCAACCCTAACCCTAACCCTACTCACGATCGTGCTGCCACCGCCGCCGGTTGTGATGTAGATGATGTTGCCGTCCGGCCCGTACCGGTAGCGCCGCGCGTCCTAACCCTAACCAACCCCAGCCCTAACCCTAACCCCAACCCCAACCCTAACCCAAACCCTAACCCTAACCCTAACCCTACTCACGATCGTGCCGCCGCCACCTCCCGTAGTTGTGATATAGATGATGTTGCCGTCCGGCCCGTACCGGTAGCGCCGCCCGTCCGCGCCCGTGTAGATCCGCTGGCCCTGAGAGTCGATGATGTACCGCTCCGAGGTGGTGACCGTGCCGCCTCCAGTCGTCGTGATGTAGATGATGTTACCCTGGTCGTCGTAACGGTACCTTGATGAAGAGGATAAATTAGTTTTTAAAAAAATAAAAAGATAAATTGATATGAAAATCGGTCTTGCAATTTGAAAAAGACTGAATTACACACATGACCGTTGTGAACAACAGCCACAGAGTTCATTAATGAAAAATCGTTCATTCACGCTCTACATAGTATTCACGCTTGGTAACTAAATCAGTGGTTCATGGGTGACAAGTGTTCTTGTTACTTAAAAAGGCAGTAATGGACATCTTAACAGCTTGTAATTGTAGGCCATGTTTAATGTCTCTGACCAAACCTACGTTTACAACGACAGCCAACGTACTAGGCTTGGATACAATGAAATCGCTGCCGAGAATTAAGATGATTTGGTGATGATGAGGTATACGTTTAACGTATAGCAGGGTCTAAAAAAGAACTAGTGTCCGGAGTGTAATACATACCTTCTGCCGTCTGCGCCTGTGTAGATGCGGTTGCCCTGCGCGTCCACAATGAAGCGTTCCGTCGTGGTCGTGGAGCCCTGAAGGGAACAACAGGCGAATGAACGGTATTAGAGGATTCTTTACTTAACAACCAGTGGGTTTTTACCTTTAATTTCGGTGAATGTCTCTCACCTTCTTCAGTGAAAGAAATTAAACAATGGCTGGTTCTGAGTCGTACTGCAGGTAGGTGCCGCTACTGCAGAATTTAAAATGCGATACCGGTCTCAAAATGTAGAGTGTGTTTTCGTCCTCACACAATATATGCATATTTGTCATGTATAGTAATAAATAAAAACAAACAGGTTTCAGTTACGTCTTAGGAATGCTGTCCCAAACGTGCTAGTGCCAATATTTCTTCTCATTGTTTTTCTGATCCAGTTCTATTTAACCGATACGCACAGTTCCTGTAGTGATGTAGATGCGGCTCCCGTCGGCGCCCGTCCGGTAGTGCCGCCCATCCTCCCCGATGTAGACCCGGTTCCCGTCCGCGTCTATGTAGTAACGCTGGGTGGTGGTGATGGTGGCAGTCGTGATGTAGATGAGGTTGCCCTGGAGTTCACGCGACAAAACGTTATTTTAGCAAGCATTCGTACCTCGGAATCATACAACGTACCTAATGAGGTCAGAATTCCCACACGGGGTCCGGCCGGGCAGCTTTTGGGAACGAAAAGTACGATATGAAAGGCAACAAAGCAGAGAAAAGTTTTTAATAATAATCATGGGCACTATCCCTGTATATTCTTGATATGAATTGGTTAATTTTTTCCTTTATACAACATCCTGGCCGGGTCCCGGTTTAGAAATGTGACCTCAGTATAACATGGACCGTCCATCCTCATACAAAAGCGCTATATCTAGCATCGTCGTTAAAAGGTGGTGGTCATGACAGTCTTTTTTATTCCTCAATTGAGATCTAATTATTCATCAATTAATCATTAATCACTCACGAATTGATACTTAGTTCTCTATAGCTAATGTCCAAACCTGGGGTCTGAAGATTGCTCACCAAGATCGGTTTGTTGGCGTGGTAGCAGAATCTGGCGGAGTTTGCTAAAGTTAACAAGGCTTAAGGCTAAACTCCTGGTTATAGGATGGTACGACGGATCTTGTGGAGCGGACTCAAGCTTACTAGTCTGGACTCTATAGGCTATATAGAACATATAGCCTTGTTTGCGTGGAGGCGGACTTAAGCTAGCCAGGCTACAGGACATTCTGTGATTTGTGACTTTATTGTGTTATGATGTGTGTATGTTTATGTATGTATGTATTTCATAATGTGGGACCCGACACCAGCTCAGCTGCCAGGGCTTCCACTGTATTGCATTGTATTGTTGGCAATTTAAATAAATAAATACAGGACGTTACCAGTTCGTCGTAGTAGTATCTCTGTCCGTCGGCCGTGGTGTAGATCCGTCGGCCCTGGGCGTCGATGGTGTAGGACACGCCGCCGCCGCGGTCGTCGGTGGAGTAGGTGACCACGCCTCCATCAGGAGTACGCCGGTCCCCGCCCGTTCCCGTCTCCGTGTAGTCGTAGATCACCACGCCACCCCTAAGTCAGATTAGTCTCAATACATTATGAAGCAAGTTTAAACCGTAATTTCCTACACAAGAAACCCGTAGCCTCTCATACTTTACAAATTGCTGTATTTTCGATGTGTTCAATTTCATGTCACTGTCTGGAAGATTTGATTTATCACATTAACGTTATGGGTTCTATTGCCGCGCAAGCCAGTTTCATTTTATGTCAACTATACGTTTTGTATTTGTTACCCAAATCGGTAGTAACTGTTTTTATGTTTCATATGCAAAGGATCCGATAAGCACTTTACGTGCTTTCTGTGAAATGCTTACAAATCTATGTGGATAAAAAAAGGAATGAAAAAAAGAAATCGACGTCTAGTCCAGGTCATTGACTTTATGTGTTTGAAGAATAAGAAACGGAACAAAAACAATGTTTTCTTTCTGTGAAGGTAAACCTAATACTGAGCCGACCTTCCGCCTGTGGTGGTCCCGCCGGTGGTGCCCCCGGTGACGGTAGTTGTCGTGGTGACGGATCCGCCGCCGCCCGTGGTGATGCGGCCGCCGGTCCCCGTGACGCCCGTCACCGTGGTCCCCGTGGTGATGCCGGTCCCGCCGCCCGTGCCGGTCACAGTCGCGATGCTGCCGAAGCCGGTGTATGTCCGAGGACGGTACGTCGCCCAGCTCCAGTTCTGAAATACAAGAGTGTTAAAATGAGGCTTAAAGTAATGCTAGAAAGGTAACATATTTGCAAAGCAAATGCACAGTGTTTACCTTCACATATTCCAACTTAACAAACTCCTGCTTTGTTTATTCTTACTCAAACATATATATATGGCTGCCACTCTTGAACTCAGTTCTGCATGACACCAAACACCAGTTACCATGCTGACAGACGTCTGGTTCAGGTCATTGACCTTATTTGTTTGAAGAAGAAGAAGAAACAGCAAAACAATACGTTTTCCTTCTGCGAAGGCAAACATAAATATAGGAAGTGATCTCGAACCTGTTTAGCTAAAAAAACATTTGAGCAGATGAAATAAAGGGGCGATGCCTGGGCAGGCATCCCTACCTGCCAGTAGCCGTCGGTGAAGGTGTTGTGGATGTGCCAGTACAGCAGGAAGGCGAACGAGCAGCGATGCGCGTTCCCGCCGGCATCTCCCCTGCCGCCGCCCGCGTCGCTCAGCACGGTCCGGTAGTACGCCTGGATCTCCGACAGACTCAGCCGGCCGTCCTGCATGAACGGATAATGATGCATCTTAAACTAACCCGGTCATTTTCACAGCTGTAACCCACCCGGTCATTATCCTATAGTAGGCTCAGCAGGCCGACCTGTAGGGAAACATGCACCACGTCCCATTAACTGGAGTTACCGGGCCCTAACCCTAACCCCGCCCCGCCCACATCGCTCAGCACGGTCCGGTAGTACGCCTGGATCTCAGACTGGCTCAGCATGTAGGGAAACATGCACCACGTCAGGAGTTACCGGACCCTAACCCTAACCCTGCCCCGTCCGCGTCCCGTTAACAGGAGTT